GAGAAAGGGAGGCAGCCCCGTGCCGGGTCCTGATTGGTCAGCGCTGCCTTTTACTTCCCCTGCCCTCTGCGCTTATAGGATGACGCGGGGTGTCCATCAAAGGCGGAGCGTTGCCTCACCTGAGCCAGTGGCTGAAGGCACGTAAAGCGTTGAGGGGCGGGGCCTAAGCTAGGTTGGCGTGGCAAGCCGGCACCGCTGGGTGTGCGCGAGGAGCTCCCTGCCCACTCTAGGGCGGGGCTGGGGCTATGGGCGGGCGGGAAGAGAACTGTGTCTCCCTTGGGTCTTAGTGCGCTGCCCGTTCCCGCCGTCTGCGGGCCGTTCCTAAAGGCTCCCACAGCAGCGTTTGCTGCTTGCAGAAAGGGGGCTCCTCCCCTGCTGTGCATCTGTTCCCCTGCAGGGCAAAGCCTGGGCAGCTGTCAGACCTATGTACACCCACCCCGACCTTCAAAAGGGCCCTTCTCCTGAGCTGGCTGCTCCCCCACAGGGCACAATTAGAGCTGCCTGGAGGAAGAGGGCAGGGGAGAAGGGGCCTTGAACCCACTACAACTTAGAAGAGCAACCACTACCATAGAGACAAACAAAATTAATATCTGCCCCTGAGCAAAACCGTTGTCTCCTGTTGAACTTGAACCTGGATAACCAAACCACTCAACTGTAATAGACTAGCCCTCACTGCTGAAAAGAGCAGTTATGCATTACTGTGAACAGGACTTAAACCAAATTTTAAACAACTATCTTCCATTACTTTAGGTGGAAATTATAAAATCACATCTCTAAAGAAATCATTACATAACTAGATACACAAGGGGAATGTTCAGCTTTTGCCTTAAAGAATTGGATCTTCAGATATTTACTTTAAATAAATTCTTCAAAATGGCACCCTTATCCAAAACATATTACTGTAGTACAAAAACCTTGCTTGTGTCGGGGACTCGAACCCGGACGGCCTCTGTTCGTTGTCTGACCGCAAAGAGACAGGCAACACCAGCAAGATCCAATCACAAGCTCTTTATTGAATAGTGCGCACTTACAATAGAGAGCGGCCCATCTCCAAAGTGAACCAGCCCCGATTTCATTTACAGGTAGGCTTATATAGACAGTTCCGTCGCGTCATAGACTATTCGCCCAAGCAACCAACCCCCCTTTATTAGTTAGAAACCTCTAATACCCATGCATACCTGGCCAACTATACATCATGGCCTTAAGCAATTCATAATGCATCAGCAATTTCTTATCAGCCCAAAAGACAGGTACTGGGCAATAAGGAGACAGTTCGTTATGGCCAAAGGAGAACATAAACAGGGAGTTTGGAACAAACGGGGAGAGCAGAAATAGGGAGTCTCCTTATCAGTTCTCAAAACAAACTGTTCCTCATCACAGCAGGTACAAAAATGCAGCTTCTTGCTTATCTCATTTTGCCAACTTGAGCAAGCGTGTAGGGTGCGGCCCTGCTTGAACCTATCTCCAGTTCTACCCAGGGACTACCCAGAAACCTTTGTTACATTTGTTTTAGCATAACTGCACTAGGCCTATTTTTTCTAGGGCCTAACACTTGGAAAGTGTTCCTGTCCTTTCCATCCATCCCTGCTTTCTTTTCATCTTTTCCCACTATCCCCACAGAAAACTCAAAGGACAACATTCCTTTTCTTTTCAAAATTAGTTTTCCTTTGACTCCTAGTTGATGAACTAGTTCAAGAGAACCTTCCGCCAACATCAGAACCTTACTAAGATATACATTCATTTGATAATCTTTGGTGATATATTTAACGTAAATATAGAGTGAAATTTCATAAACATGTTAATGACATCACACAAATGTGATAGAAATGTAGCCGTGTTAGTCTGGTGTAGCTGAAACAAAATACAGGACTATGTAGCACTTTAAAGACTAACAAGATGGTTTATTAGATGATGAGCTTTCGTAGGCCAGACCCACTTCCTCAGATCAAATAATGGAAGAAAATAGTCACAGCCATATATACCAAAGGATACAATTAAAAAAAATGAACACATATGAAAAGGACAAATCACATTACAGAACAGAGGGGGGATGTGGGGAGGCGGGAGGAAGGTAAATGCCTATGATTTAATGATATTAGAGGTGGGGAAATGTCTGTGAGTTAATAGTATTAGAGGTGATAATTGGGGAAGCTATCTTTGTAATGGGTAAGATAGCTGGAGTCTTTGTTCAGGCCTCCCCGGAGAGTGTGGAATTTTAGCATGAATGCCAGTTCAGAGGATTCCCTTTCCATTTCAGATTTGAATGTTTTCTGAAGTAGGATGCATGTGATTAGGTCATTGAGACAGTGTCCTTTCTGGTTGAAATGGCAAGAAACTGTTTTTTCTTTGTGATCCTGTCTAATGTCTGTTTTGTGGGCATTGATTCTTTGGCGAAGTGTCTGAGACGTTTGTCCAATGTACATAGCAGACGGACACTTCCGGCACATGATAGCATAGATTATATTTCTGGAGGCGCAGGAATATGTATTCTTGATCTTGTAACTCACTTGGTTAGGCCCAATAATAGTGTCAGCAGAGTGAATATGTGGACAAAGCTGGCAACGGGGTTTGTTGCAAGGGAAAGTACCAGGGTTGGTATTAGTGTGGTATGTCCTGTGGTTGTTGGTAAGAATCATCTTGAGGATAGGTGGTTGTCTATAGCAGACTATGGGTCTGTCTCCCAGAGCTTCTTGGAGTTTAGTGTCCTGTTCCAGTATAGGCTGTAATTTATTGATAATGTGTTGGACAGGTTTAAGTTGGGAGCTGTAGGTGATGAAAAGTGGTGTTCTATTGGTTTTCTTGGGTCTGTCTTGTAGTTGATAGTTTCTAGGCATTAGTTTGGCTCTTTCACTTTGCTTTTGTATTTCTCCGAGTGGGTAGTTGAGGTTTATAAATGCTTGGTAGAGATCCTGAAGTTTCTGGTCTCTGTCTGTGGGATTAGAGCAGATGCGGTTGTATCAAAGGGCTTGGCTATAGATGATGGATCGTATGGTGTGTGCTGGATGGGAGCTGGAAGCATGTAGGTAACTGTATGAGTCAGTGGATTTTCTGTAGAGAGTGGTGTCTAATTTTCCATTGTTGATTTGTACTGTGGTGTCCAGGAAATGGATCTCTCATGTGGAATGGTCCAGGCTGAGGTTAATGGTGGGGTGTAGGTTGTTGAAATCTCTGTGGAATGTCTCCAGTGTTTCTTGGCCATGCGTCCAGATCATAAAGATGTCATCGATGTAGCGTAAGTAGAGAAGGGGTGAAAGGGGACAGGAGTTGAGGAAACGTTGTTCTAGGTCAGCCATAAAGATGTTAGCATACTGTGGGGCCATGCGTGTACCCATGGGTGTGCTGCTGATCTGGAGGTATAAGTTGTTCTCAAACTGGAAATAATTGTGGGCAAGAACAAAGTTACATAGGTCTGCTATCAGGTTGGCAGTGGTGTCCTCTGGGATAGTGTTTCTAATAGCTTGTAATCAGTCTTCATGTGGGATGTTGGTGTATAGTGCTTCTACATCCATGGTGGCAAGGATGGTGTTATTG